AACTACACGATGATTCTGTTGACTGTCAAAAGCGGGATTCCAAAATTCTGCGAAATTTGCAGCTTACTTATTCCACCATCTGCTGGACCAACTATCCTTCCTATAACAAAATCTGACAATTCGAGAGAACCTTGAGTTCTAGGCATGTTGTAGCACAAGATAATTAGTGTGCGGACCATTTTCATTTATATAGTGCTCTGTGAACACAAATTAATTAGCATAAATCAGTTAAATGACGAAAAATTAGGTGTCTATTTACTTGTGACCACTCAGTGTATTTATTAAGTAACTTGATTTTTATTTCCCTAAACGACAAAGTTGTCATCCACAAAACTGGCATAATATAATGGTTTAAATCTAAATGGGATATTAGAAAACCGTTGTTTTTCATGGAAGTATAAGAATAAGTTATTCAGGCTAGGGCTTGAACTAAAATCATAGCAACATCATTAATCTGTTTATAGATCACATTATTAAAAATGAAATGTGAATCATAAGTGCCAACAGTCTTCTCAATAAAATGTTAAAATACTTATTTATCAACAGTCTAGATTTTTGCCAGATAAATAGTTTCAGTGGAGTATTAAATTCTTATTTACCATGCGTTCGTAATAAGCCACTTGTTTATTAAACAGACATTTTTTAAAATTAATTATGAGTAAAGTATTTTCACTGATTACTTTTAGTCAAGTTTGTAAGAATCCATTCAGACTGCTTAACCTTTTTTTCGTATAAATGTAAAATTACTAAACAGTAGGTCACTATTTTTGTAATAAATATATATATAAATATATACATCATCGAGGAAGAATTGATGAAGATGTAGCATTCTCATCTTGTAACGACTCACGAGTCTTTGCTCACGTGCAAAGTGAATGTGATTCTCGAATTTAAAATAAATATTAAAACTATACTCTGCATTCGATCGCATGTAGTTTATATATAAATGTTTTACTTTTCTTTGGAGAAAAGAGGGAAAACAGCCAGACAATAACACCCACTGACAACTCAAGAGCTACTTTTATCAAATCTAGTTATTTGATCGCCATTCTAATAATGTACCCACTGCCATAAAGTGAAATACATGTTCTGAGGAAAAAGTGACACGAACTTTGGACCCTCTGATTCAGATTTTTATCTCTATAACTTTTTCTGAGTCAGCTAGATAGAAATTTCTATACAGTTTCCGGGCTTGATAAATATTGATATTATATTTTACGGATAACCTTTGGCACGAGCTGCTGCATCTCCTTTTCTTACTATGTCAAAAGTGTTGCCTTTCATCCCAGATAATCATCTTCACTGTTGTACGGGGCCCATGCCTTTGTCGGCTTGGTGGCCATTTCCTAGCAAGGTGTTTGAGAACATGGAACATGCTCAAGCATTGGGTGGTGTATTATTTCCTTTGTCGGCTTATCTAGCAGCTCTATCCATGTAGTCCTATGAGAATTGTCCTGACGCCTCATTGTGGGAGGCTCCTCACTTGTAATGATGACATAGGTTCTTCCTGTATGGGTGATATACTGACGCCTCATTGTGGGAGGCTCCTCACTTGTAATGATGACATAGGTTCTTCCTGTATGGGTGATATACTGACGCCTCATTGTGGGAGGCTCCTCACTTGTAATGATGGCATAGGTTCTTCCTGTATGGGTGATATACTGACGCCTCATTGTGGGAGGCTCCTCACTTGTAATGATGGCATAGGTTCTTCCTATATGGGTGATATACTCTTAGACGTAGAAGCTCCGTCTTTGAGAGCCATACACATCTGGTTCATGAATCCAATGGCTTGTTGTAGTACCCATTGTAGCAGCTTTTCATCGAGAGTTACCTTGTTATCTGCTCTGTCTTCTCTGGGTTTAGAAAGGTATTATTTAGCTTTGGTATGTGATGCCTTTATTGAGGTATGGGAACATTTGCTAAAAACTGCTGGTTGTAGCACACTACTGGTGGGACAGAGTGCCAGGCCTCGATGTTCTTTAGCGCTGTTATAGCTAATAATGGTGAAGGCTTTGAGCGGCTTGAAGACTAGGCTTACCAGGAGCCGTGGATAGCCTTGCTTGTTCTCCCGGTTCTCAGTCGCTGTGTTTCATTCCTCAACTGCTCAAAGTATGCTACGGATAAACGGATATGTCATGAAAGCATAAGACTTGTGTCACTTTTAGAGACAAAAATCCTTCTTGATTATGTTGCATAGTTTTACCTGGGGTAGGTGGACGAAGACAACGTTTTCCCAGTGCCCGTTTCAACAGCATGATTGCATAGAAGTCCATAGGTTTTGCATCTGGCGACTTGATTAGTATATCTTTGCATAGAATCGCATTAATTCCTATATAAATTTCAGCTGCTTAAAATATACAACAGTTCAATGTAGGTAGGGCTAGAAGTATTATCTTAGTGAGCCTATACACTATTATTCTTTTTTTCCAGATGAATATCATTCTTGATTATGTTGCTTGGTTTGGTTTTGAATTTCACGCAAAGCTACACAATGGCTTTCTCTGCTAGCCGTCCCTAATTTAGCAGTGAAATACTAAAGGGAAGGCAGCTAGTCATCACTACTCAACGAATAGTGGGATTGACCGTCTCATTATAACGCCCCGACGGCTGAATAGGCGAGCATATTTAGTGGGACAGGAATTCGAACCCGTGACCAGCAGATTGTGAGTCAGGCGCCCTAACTACCCGACCAGATTATGTTGCATACTGTTGTTTTGGATACGTGTACAGTTTTTGCCGCTGACCTTTGTGTTCGTGGATTCCCAGCTGTTGCAAGATACCGTACTTTGCTTACCATGGCTGGGATATGATTAATTGTAGGTCTCGTTTTGGATAGTTGTGTGCTCCACGTGTGTTTGTTTTCAGTGTATCAAGTACAACAAATATCTCGGTCTTATAATACAGATCTGAACACATCCTTATGACCTGAGTGCATTAAAATTTTGCATCAAGAAAGAACTGTTACATATTCTTTCCAAAGACAACAACTTTTTGGTAGCGTAACAATACTTAGATCGCTAAACAATGTCAAAGTAAAGTTGTGATACATATTTCAATGCGACGTTTCCATGTCGTTGTTGTCACGTAAAAAGCTGCTTTGTATATATTGTATATATTATTTGTTTATATTTGTATATATTATATAACTTACCCAACCCTCTTTATATATTACTAAGTCTGAATTTAAGATATAAATTCAACCGAATGTTTACTGTAAGGTTCATAAAACTATCTTAAACAGCCAAGTTGTTTCCGTAAAACAACTGGCTACTGGAAGTTTTTTTTTTAATCATCAAACAACAACTATTTGTATATTGTTTCAGTAGCATTTTCTGACGTTTAAGGTACCTCTGATGATTGAATATTAATTCTAATAACATTATGCACCGTTTAAAAACTATATTGTTAGCATTTCAATTAATTTTTATTTTCCTGTTTATTTTATGTTTCCAGGTTCAGAACAAGGTCCTCATGAACGAAGACTAATCAATGACCTTCTGCGTGACTACAACGTTATGGAAAGGCCAGTAGCCAATGAATCAGAACCACTTTTGCTCAGTTTCGGTTTAACTCTGCAGCAGCTAATTGATGTGGTATGATGATGTTATATCAGTTATATGATATCTAAATTAGGACGATTATATTAGTTTGTTTATAAAATTAAAGTATCTCAACACTGTGGAGAGTTCATTTCAAAATTATTTGCATCCGAAATGAATAATATTGTCCAAAGTAAATAATAACTTTAGAATTAAATACATTTGTTCAGTGCACATCCTCTGTTGATTTGCTCGTGGACTGGATAGAAGCATCAACGCTTTTTGGTGTTAAAATGCATTATGTAAGTATAAACACAAAATTAAGGTTTAAAATAAACCCTAATAAATAGGAAGCTAAATCCTATTTTGACTGGTATTTTTATTTAGACATTAATTTTCGATTGATGATTTCACAGAATACAAATGACGAATGCAACGATGTAATTATTTTGCTTCGATTTTCTCTTAAGTTATCTAATTATAATAAAATGGCAAATATTTTCTGTTTATTTGCTTTCGTGATCTTTACTGGAAAGTGTTTATAAAGATGTTGGTTTTATTGGTCATTGTGGTTACGCTGAACAGGATTAGAACTTGAAACTATCGTATATAACTAGTACTTCCGCATGACGACTGGGTATTGTTCTCTCTCCATCGTGTGTGTGTGTGTGTATACGAACAGAATAACTCGAACAGTTTTTATGTGAATTTGATCAAATGTGGTATAAAGGTGTCCCCCAAGGACTGAATGGTTATCTTTTGATTAATGTAGCTGAAAATTCAAGGTCATACTGCTGGAGGTCAACCACTTTAGTTATAATGAAGCAAATTGGGATTTTTAAAAACTGTCAAAATACGAGAACAAATTTAGACAGAAAAATGATTTTGGAACCTAGATGTAGATTTTATAGAGTGATGAATTGCTTCTGGTATATTCTATGTTGCAACATTCAAAAACACTGAATGGAGATAGCACTGTCTGAGTGTTTTACTGGTTCTTTAAATACACCTTTAGCGGTATTTTTTTTTTCTATCTAGTGTTTCTTTTATATTAAAACCTAAGCTCAATAGGTTAAATCCTGAAAGATTGAAACAGTTAGCTGATAATTCAGTTCAGTTTCTTAACATGCTTGTTAAGCTTAACATGCTATGATCTAAAACTCTTTACGTCAGTAACAAACTATACTTATCTCTGCTAGAGAAATTTTAATGTTACTGTTATTTAAATTTCTGATACTCTGGTGTTCTTCAGAGAGCCTTGAGATTTCGAATAATTTTTTCTTCAAATATTTTCGATTATCACTTTGAAATTATTAACCTTTCATGTAATTTCTGAAATTTATTGCTGCTAAGTAAACAAGTAATAATTGTGATTTACTGTTAACCGTAAAGTCGACATCTTCGATGAAAAATGTAGCAGTGAAGCTGAGAACTTATAACGGCAAATAACAGGTTTTGATACCTGCGGTGGGCAGAGCATGGGTTGCCCATTGTGTACTTTTGTGCTTAATAATAAACAAACTTCAAAATAGAAATGCAGTATCTTTTTCAGGCTTAGCTAGAGAAAGCCGTAAACTTGTCTTCAGAGAATAACCAAAAATATTTTTATTATTAATATCCATACAATCCACAACTGACTTCTCTACGTTCTGTATTTGCAAATAAATGTTCAATATTTCATTATGAATAACGTATATTTCGTTGCATGATGATTTATTAAATCTATTAATAAAGAAATTAGGCATAATTATGGATATATAACATGCCATAATATCTATATCGCTTAAAAACATGTTTTTGTCAGTATGAAGTTTCATGAGGTACAAGCAGGATATCTGTTACTAATCAAAATACTTCGAAACAATAATTTTGCGAGTTATGTCAACAGTGTGTGTAGCAATATTGAAATGAGATATATAGTAACCCCCCCCCCCCCAGCAGCTCATCGGTAAGACTGAAGGCTCATAACGCCAAAAATCAGATTTCGATATTCGCGTTGGGCAGAGCATAGATAACCCATTATGTAGCTTTTTGCTTAACAACAAACAAACAAAAATATATGGTAACATAAGAAACTGCTCTAATTCCTGGGCAAAACCTATGAAATGCAATGTTGTTAAAACACTTGAAAGCCTACTAGCAGTATACAGTCCAATGTTTTCCTTAGAGGCTTTAACATTTTTTATTGCACTTATTGTGACTTGTAATAATCTAATGTCAAGCTTATTTTAATATCTTTTGTTTTAGTGATTGTATTTTGCAAACAAAACTTTCGGTATTTTAAAACCAAATATTTTTACTTGAACAGAAACTTTAACTAGCTTCTATCAAATTCGATTATCAAGTTTACCGTGAACATTTTCCCCACCGTTAATCAAGATGATAATATAATTTGAACCTTTGTATGATAGTATTTTGGTAATTTCAGTACTTCAATAGATTTCCAGTGAACAAATTTTTCATCAAAGTAAAACAGCTCACGTATAACATGAAAAATAAAAATAATAAGCGCAGAGAATTACGGTTTACCCATTCCGATCCCTTTGGGATTGTGGGAACTCATCGTACAATAACTCTTCATAAGTGTCGCCATTGAGACTCGCTGAATAAACATGTATTACCTTTAACATTCACATCAAAATTTCTGTAGGCATAGAGAAACAAATTAAAATTTTATGTAAGAAAGCAATTTTATAGTGATTTTGCTCTTACATTATTTGAACATTGTTTAACTTACTGAAATAAATGTAACATTATTTGTGTAAGCTTTACGTCCGGGAGTAATCACAGGTTAGTAAAAACTTATACTGTCTCGGTCAGTTAATATACATATGCGACTTGTTATTCAAATGTAAAAGTGTAATGACCAATGTTATAAAAGTAAAGAATACCGTGGTGACTAACAAAAAATTAACATATTTTATTAGAGATAAATGTATATCACATTCATTCAATCATTTTATTATTACACACATATGATCTTCCCACTTCTTTCTAGTGGTACAATTGCCCAGACTACAAATGTTTTTATCACAAAGGGAAATTGTTGTTAAACATACCATTGGTAATTTTGAGCAATTGCCAGTTGAAAAAATTTAAAATTCAATATATTGATCATACGTCAAAAAACAATATGAAAATTGACAGATGAGGTCGTTACATAAATGATTTTATGGGACAAGAGGCACTTTTTAACAAACTGCATTTATCATTTTATCTTTCTTTAAAAAGTAAACTGCATAGATTATTCACAATCTAATAAAGTAATCACAGGTCATTAAAGAGAAAACGAAGAACTTAATCATTTTTATCAAATCAGATTGATGAGAAAGGTTTTTCATTAAAAGTTTAACTTGAATATTTTATATTACATTATACTTTGCATCCGGTGCATTTAAAGCAGGAAGTTTTTTATTGTTGGTGTTGTTGTCTTTTTTTTTTGGCACACTAATAAGAAATGTTCCTAAACTCAATCGATTGCTACTCGAAAATAGTGGGTTACACGAGAGTGACCAGGTGTTTCAATCCATGGAGAAATTATCTCAGCCACCGGCACTGGATTCGTTTTATCTGTACACACAACGAGAAAGGAAATCATATCCTTTGGAGGTTTATAGCACTTAAGCACACATATTTTACGATTGACGAAACAGTTTTTCTTAACCCACGTCTCATTTCCTCATTTCATCAATCTTATATAATCCTTACAGTAGTCAAAATACATGCCCTACAAAGAATGGCTACTTCAGCTGTTCAGTTCACACACAGCTTTAGAAAACAATTCATAAGCTAATTTTGCAACTCCCGTTTTTCTCCCAAGAGAGGGTATTTGATTAGGTATAAGACAAAATTTGTAAAATCCAAACAAATTGTTAATCCTGGAAAAGCTGTCTGATTCTATGCTGTATATCTGAATACAAGACTAGATTTTGTTACATATCTATTACATTAGTCGCAGGTAATAACTCACTATTTACTTTACTTTGCTTTAATTCCATTGTTGGAGAAAGTTTTAAAATGTCTGAAAATATTGGCAAGTGTATTAAGAAACGCATGTCTTCTGGTAAGATAAAATATAATTTCATTTGGTATTGTACTATAATATTTTTAATTTTAATATGAAGATGATGATCTATTAAAGAACGGCAAGGATGATTCGTTGTCCACTAAAATAAAAAATATAGATTTTAGCTTATTACTTAAATAAGAATTTCGCTAGTTTGCGATAACAATAAAGCTTCTTTGAGCAACTGGTAAAATTAAACTTTATTCTTGAGCCTTCATAATCATATAAATTGTTTAATTGAGGGTTTGTAGTGTAAGTAAATTTTAAACACAGTAAACTATATATTTAAAACTGGTATATAAAAACATGAGCACATGTCTCTTTCATCTCTCCAGTCTCCAACTTCAAGACTTTAAAATCGCCAGAAGACAACATATGACCAACTTCTCTAGCTAAAATTTAATAGTTCACGAAAGTAACAAATAACTTATCGCGAGCGGGGCGAAGGGGGATACTAATATCCCTGAACACCCCAGTTGAAGAAAGTTTCCTTCCTATAAAAACTAAATTCCTGTCACGAAATGTTCGAGTTTTGTTTTTGCACCTTTGCTTTCCGACAGTAATTTCTTCAAAGAATAGCATTTTCATATTGAAATTCAAACTTGTTTTCCTTATTTTGCTTTAGACCTAAATAAGGCACTTCTATTCAAATGAATCTGTCGAAAATAAGTTTTCTGTAAGTTTTTGGTTAATAAATTTGTAGATCTGAAACTCAATCGTGCTATTTTAAAGTCTTTGTGCACATTTTCAACAGAGATAAACATATACTTCATAGATGTATACATAGGTTCTGCTACATCTTCCTCTATTTTTGTAACTTACTGATTACAAACCTACAATGTTTACTATTGTATAATTACACGAAACTTACAGAAGGCTTTGTTTCTTCACCATTAAACTGTTAAAAGGCTATATTATTATACTTTCTTCTGATTAAATGTTATTTCAGGGAATTCAAGTAGAAGATCACTCAAATTAGTGAAATGACTTTTTCTCTAAAATTTGGACTAGTGTCATATTTTGTTTTAGATACGTCTTGACAGCTCCTACAGATTGCGATTGTGTTATTATATAACTTTGCAGTTTCAACATATGTTGTTGGTAATTGAAGGTATTATAATTGAATGTATTTACTATCGGTAGCATATTCCTTCCTTTTCCTATTTTGCACTTATTTACTCAGGAAACTGGGATGAAAAAACAGTTACATTGTGTTTTATATTTGAATGCAAGAAGACAATATAACTAGTAAGTACAAGACAATAGTTAATAAATTTATATATAACCGCAAGGCGAAGAAAATCTTAGTACTAGATCTGTTTCTAACCCGTTTGTAACAAAGAATAGGCAATTGTGCTTCTATTTGTTTTTGAACATAATAAACATTAAAAGTGCAATAGATATACATAAAGATACCAATACTGAAAAGAAAGACATACTGTTTTCAATAATTTTATCAATATGATATTAGATGGGGGGTTCCAAGCCCCCTCATGTCTTCTTGTATCACTGTGTCAAGTTTGGTGTTGAATGATCAATAAATGTGGGAAACTATTAAGAACAAATACAGACACATATACCGACGTTTATTTATATAGATTTCCATTTAATAACTATATATATATATATTGTCAAAATAATTGAGTAGGACGTAAGATAAAAAATTGATAGCCCTCATACTTGTCCAGTTACTATTGGCTGCATTGTAAGGCATATAAGGGCGCCGATAACGGGTAATTAAAGAAATAACAAAATGTTATTAATTGAGATAATTAAGACACAACTGTTGCACCACTATCCAGTAGCCTCCAGTTACCCATAAAAGAACAGAAGAGTGGAAAATAATGGGAGCATTAAAACAAGACGTGATGTAATTTAGTAACAGAAATATTAACGAAGCTCCACAAAGCACTCTATAGCTCTTCAGAATTCTTATAGTTCCCTATAAGATTTATTGTATACGACATAACCAAGTATTTTTACATTAATCTACTATAAGTACGTCATTTAAAAAACTATAACATAATACGATGTTTAGGGATTATTTTCCACCATTGAAATAATATTTGATGAGGATTGTTAGTTCTTCTCAATTTTTTAGTAATTTGTTTAAATTTTATAATTCATAAAACGAGAAAAGAGACACATTCACAGAAAAAAAAAAGCAATAATTAAAACATTAAAAATTAATTTTTACCTGTTATTTAAAAATTCCTTCATTGGAAAAAGGTTACGTTGCCGTTAACCAGTTATTGTTATAATTAATTACGGTACTACTTAATAGTAGGGGATCGTGATGAAACAAAATGGCACCCATAAAAATCACCCGTTTGATACCACCTTTTAACAGTATTCAACAAATTTTCATCTACGTAAGTGACTTTTTCAAAAAACCGTAGAGAAAAAATGACGAACCTTACTGCTCTAATTCCTTCACAGAACCCTTCCGTCTGGGGTCCAAATGAGTCCTTTCTTGTACCGAAACAGATACTAATATATATATATATATATACCGTTTGTTTGTTTGTTTTTGAATTTCGCGCAAAGCTACACGAGGGCTATTTGCGCTAGCCGTCCCTAATTTAGCAGTGTAAATTGAAGGCAGTAAAGGGAAGGCAGCTAGTCATCACCACCCACCGCCAACTCTTGGGCTACTCTCTTACCAACCAATAATGGGATTGACAGTTATATTATAACGCCCCCACGGCTGAAAGGGCGAGCATGTTTGATGGGACGAGGATTCGAGCCCACGACCCTCAGATTGCGAGTCGAGTGCCTTAACCACCTGGCCATGCCGGGCCTATATAAAACGAACGACGTTCTAGTTAGAGCATATAATTAGATTTGAAGTAGGTTGGTAGAGATTCTGATGAGTAATAAAATCGAATCGAGTATACGCGCACCCCACGCTTGGTATTACTGGCGCACAAAAATATAGCTAATAAAAAGGAAACAAACAAGTACAATATATTTTTATATTATTTCATAAAGACAAGTTGGGATCGATATATACGTAACCTTGCTAGCTAAAGTAATATTGAAAGCTTTAATGCCACAAAAAGTATTGAAACAAAAAAGTCAAAGCTACAAAAACTGCGTTACTTGAAATAAAAAAAATAATTATCCCTACTTTCATTCAGACTAGAAAAATTACAGTGATTTGCCAAAGTAGCGATAAAAATATTTAAATTCTAAGAAACTTAGTTTTCGTAGTTTTGACTTTCTTGTTTCGATACTTTTTGTAGCATTAAACTTTCTATATTACTATAGCTAGGTAGGTAACTTGTATATCGATCCCTACTTGTCTTTATAAAATTTAAATTTTTTTCATTATACTTGTAATAAGGATATCCCATTGTGTAGCTTTGTGCTTAACTACAAATAAACAACTTTGTAATAAGACAAACAATAGAAAAAGATCTAACTTAACCCAATTTATTAATTTGCAACAAATTAGACTGAATAATGTGTGTAATTAAATATTTACTTGTGTAATAGTATTTTTAAGATAATCTTGAAACATTTTTGCAAAACATAAAACCACCTAGCTTTTGATTATAGCTGAGGAAAGTTAATTTTTACATTACAAACCACATTCCACTACTCAAATGAAATTTTGATGTCTTGAAATTCCCTATATAACAAAATATATGTCTTACATGTTAGTTAATAAAAAAAAAACAGTAATAAAAGCGCGATAAAACAATAAACATCTTTTCAAGAAGTGATAATTTTGACATAGGCTTAGTTTTCTACAATAAGGTAACTAGTTAGCATTTTAATACGATTAATTTTTAGAGGTATGAAAGTGTAATAAAGTTTTTAATTTTTCCAACCATCCTTCATTTAGGTATGTTTCAAATTCTCTTGTATGTTTATGATTATAGTTTTGTTTATTTTGTTTGACCTTTACAATGTCAAGCTGCAAATCTTGTTAAAAGTCAAAGCCATGTATTTACACGATGACTTTGAATTTTCAACAGCGTTTTAATTATCAAACTAAATGAGTGAATTTGTATTTCTTTTTGTAGGATGAAAAGAATCAGATAGTAACCTCAAACTTGTGGTTAAATTTGGTAAGTTATTTTGTATTAAACATACAGTTATGCTATGCATAGTAGTTTAAGGTATTTTTGTGTCATCTTAATGTTTTCTTTTCTCTTTAGGATGAAAAGAATGAACAACTTGTAACAAATCTCTGGTTAACTTTGGTAAGTGTGCAGCTAACATCAAAATTCTAAACTGAGGATAATAGCGAAATTAACGCGAAACTAAATATTTAAAGGATATACCCTGTTATATAAAACTTAAAACTTGTTTATTGTCAGATATACAAATTATAATATCTATGGTTAGAACGTTTCACCAGTTAAACCTGGCATCATCAGGTACAACAGCTACAAATGGCTACAACGTTTCATTAGCATCATTAGGTAGAACAACTTCATATGGTTACAACCTTTCACTGGCATCATCAGGTACAACTTCCACAAGAAGTGAACTCCTGATGTTGATAATACGAAAAACTACCTGATGGATACATTAGTATTTGATTAAATGAGCTAAACAAGTCTTCATAACATAAATAATTATGTTTAATATGGCCAAACAGTCCTCCTTCCGTGTTTATGAACATATGTTCAAGCATGGTCATTCGTTTCAACATGACAATGGTGAAATTCTCGATATAGAAATATATATATATAAACCACTGTAAAATAAAGGAACCATTAATAAATAAACAGCTTGTACCTACAATTAATATTATTCTAGTATACAGTTGTATCTTTTATAATTATCGTTTACAACTTTTAAGGTTGAGTTGTTATATGCATATGTTTTTTTTCTATTTATAGTGTGAATTTATAGCATTGTACAATCAGACTATATTGACCTATTGAAAATACCTAACGTGTATTAAGATTATGTTTCAAACACATATGTCACAATATAAGATATTTGAAACTGTTTTACTGTAGATTTTCTTAACGATTATAAATATATTAACAATATAATAGTAGGTAATGCACACTATCAGTTAAAATCTAACATAATGTTTTGAACCACTAATTCGGAACAGCATTAAATTAATTTAAATAACATTTCCGACACTTTCGCATATCCTCTTCTGTCCAACGGTTGGTTGTTGAGAGAAATACGTATGGTGTCTGAAATGGAGTTCAGCTTAAATTGACCTTCAAATGTTTGAACTTTAGCAACCTATGTATTATCGAACCTTCCACAATTTTTCTTTTGACATAATTTCAAGTTTTATATATAAATTTGACTGATTTCTAGTTAATTTTATGATCAATGTTCTTCGTATTTATAAAAATAGTGCTAATTGTTAGACCATTTTTAATGTTATGCAGCCTTGCTAAGCTCAACCAATCTAATATCAATGTATTCAGCTGCTAATTTTTCGTATTATTTAGAACAGGAATTCACTCCTTGTAGTTGTTGTACCTGATGATGCCAGGTTAACCTGGTGAAACGTTGTAACCATATGTAGTTTTTGTACTTGATGATACCAGATTAACCTGGTGAAACGTTATAACCATAGGTAATATAATCTGTATATACGAAAATATACAAGTTTTAAGTTTCATACGAAACTAAAAAACACATAAATTAAAATCATAAGCTAAAAGAAAAAAAATAATCTTTCAATTTCATATGACAAGTCATGAAAATAGAAGACAATTACAGTGGAGGAAAAATTATTGCACCAACCATTTTATTCACACTTGTATTTTACGAAATTGTGAATTGTGGAACTGTCAGAACTAATGTAAAACGGATATGGACATTGTGTGGTGTAAGCTGACTTGTATTTCAGTTATCAAAACACATATATACATCTGTATTAACAAACCAACCAAGACAAACGTAGATGATCAACAAATACTCTGTAAGAAAACTTAGATTTAAAAATAACGCCACCAATGTAATTGACAAAAAGTGGTCACAGAGTCTGTTTCTTGTTTAAATATTTAGTTGTACTTCCTCTGACCTTAATAACTACTTGACATCGCCCTGGCATAGAGAACAGGAGGGACTGAATGTAGGCAGGTGAGTTCATAATGCCACACGTGGATTAGGGCTTCCCGCAGTTCCAAGGCGCTTCTCTGTTTTTTCTCTTGCACTTTGTTACCCATTCTCTTCCAGTAGTTTTCTAAAGGGTTGAAATATGGACTGTTGCCTGGCCAGTTTAGTGTCTTGATCCTCTCCCTTCGAAGATAGACATTCACTTGAGGTAATGAAATAAAACCTATGATGTCTTTTCAATACCGGTTAGGTGAAATTTCTTCTTTATTTCACATCTACTGCGTAGAGTGCAGCTGATAATGTCCAACCTTTTTAGCCCTGTGGCATGGAGCAGTCATCATGGAATGTGCACTGATCAGCTTCATTGAAGTGATCTTGAATTACTTGAGTTACTTGTTGACATTGATAGTGCCTTTCACAAAATACAGGCGTTCCACATCATGGCCAGAGATGTATCCCCATATCACCTGACCATGTGGATGCTTCAAAGTTTCATTCAATTACGCTTGATGAAACTTTTCTCCACATCGACTCCATAAAAAATGCTTTCCATCAGACTTGTGCAGGTAAACTATGATTCGTCTGAGAAGATCACTTTGCTCACCATTGCATCAGTCCAGTCAGAATGCTTTTCGACAACTTGAAGAAGGATTCCTTTCTTGGTCGTCTTGCTGTGAAACGAGCTGTTAACAGGCGAGACCGAACAGTGTGCGCGGTGACAGTAGCTCCTGAAATTTCCTGTCATACTATTTTGAAATCTGTGTATGACAGTCGAAGATTCTGCAAGCGGCTCAAGCGTTTCAGAACGCGATCATCAGCTGCTGTGGGAACCTTTTTCCTATACCTTCCCTTCCGCTGCTCCATACAGACAATATCTTTATGTCGCTGCACCCAGCGACTCGCAATAGAGTTGTTAAATTAACTTCTTCTCGAAATCTGCCTTGTTGAAAGTCCCTCTTTGCTCTAAGAAACAATGACTATTTTTTCTGTAAACCTAACTCGCAACTCTTGGCCATGGTAGCATAATACGCACATTGTAGCAGATAAGATTGTAAATTGACTTTTAGTAAGAACTTTAATTTATATCAAAAAAACGGTTGATGCAATACCCAGACAACCTATAAACCTGCTGATGTAATAAGTACATAGTATTACATCATTAATTGAAAACATTTGCACCTACATGCATTAGGGCCTCAAAACAGACGACAATTCTGAAGAAAAGTGTGAAAAAATTGAGTGATGTAATAAATATTTCCATCACTGAAAATTAGTTAAAATTTAAAGCCAGTTAATTGCAATTACAGTAGTAGGTATGAATGAAGAATGTAGCAGCTTCTTTGACTAAATACATTCTATCATGTGTAATGATATTTATTTTTATAATATACTCTTATAAAGAACAAGACATAATACTTCTATGTACCAAAAAGAGGTTTTAAAAATAACTGTAACCTATATATATATATATATATGTACGAAAATAGTTCGTACAAGAATAGTATGTTATTTAAATCTGGAGCATGTGAGAAGGTTTATTTTCTGGTTTTCAGGCACCCTAATGTTGCCAAAAGTATTCAGACGACAGGCATGAGTTACATTACTTTGTGATGTTTACTAATACTTTCATATAATTGATCTAATTAACTCTGCGTCATGCGATTTGGTAAAATAGCATACTTCATTAGAAATTATGGGCTATACTAAGGAAATATAACTACCCCAGTATTCTATGTTTATGAATGACATTATTTTACATGTTATTATCTCAAACATCCTTATGTACTGATAATTGTAACTTCTCCATTTCTTTTTCCTAGTAAATGCAAATAAAAATACCATCGAGCATAGCGTAGAAAAAGAAGGTTCCGCTCAGATACAAATTAAGAATGGTTTCAATATCCACCATTTGAAATTGTTTGTTAGCGTTGGAAACCAGTGCTTAGAAAATATATTTAGGACACTTCACAAAATCAGTAGCCACACGAGGGCTATCTGCGCTAGCTCTCCCTAATTTAGCAGCGTAAGACTAGAGAGAAGGCAACTAGTCATCACCACCCACTCTTGGGTTACTCTTTTACCAACAAATAGTGGGATTGACCGTCACATTATTACGCACCCACGGCTGAAAGGACGAACATGTTTGGTGGGACGGAGATTCGAACCCACAACCCTCAGATTGCGATTCGAGCGCACTAACCACCTGGCCATCAATGCATTTTATATTTTCTTATTCTGGAATTATAAGGGCAGATACTCCTTAAAGAAAAATAATAGTTAAGATACATCTTCTTTATATCGTATTTGCTTCCTGTACAATATTTGATACACTAGCATGCAGAGAGATTATACACCAAAGTTTTAAAAGACGTTCAATTATACTGTTTGTTTTTTAATTTCACATAGACAGTAAATACATTGAAAAATTTTAAAGTTACCAGCAAGTGACGATCAATACATTTTAACTAGGAAATAACTGCAGTTGTAGATATTTCTATCGTATGAACTATTACAATTTACTAATAAGTAGGCCTAAATTTTAACCATAACAAAGAATTAATAAAAATGTTAATATATGTTTGTGTGTTCTTACATTAGTTGAAAATTGAATATCTCCTTTCTTACGATACTCATCAATAACAATATCATTCTCTTTTTGCATCTATTTTTCTTTTTCTAAAAATTTTGGCCTCGTAATTTTGCATCAGCTATGACTAATTTAGCTGGGGAAACTTTAATACTTAAGACACTAAATAATCTAAGTCCTTCAGGGAAGTACTTATAAATGTCAATTTACGTACGTCAAATACGATAAACTCTGTTTGTTTGTTTGTTTTGGAATTTCGCGCAAAGCTACACGAGGGCTATCTGCGCTAGCCGTCCCTAATTTAGCAGTGTAAGACTAGAGGGATTGACCGTCACATTATAATGCCCCCACGGCTGAAAGGGCGAGCATGTTTGGTGGGATGCGGATTCAAACCCGCGACCCTCAGATTGTGAGTCGAGCGCCTTATCCACCTGGCCATGCCGGGCCGATAAACTCTGTAAATATAACGTGTTATTCATACACTTATCCATAAGATATTATATTCATTTATTTACAGCGTGAGAGCATTACAATCATGCTATATGTGTTTCCTTTTATTGTTATTATCATTGTTTA